CGATTCCTGCCAGGCCTCTTTGTCCATGTTTTTCATATTTGAATTTGATCTCATTAACCGACTTTCATTTCCATCCTACAATTGCAACACACTACTCCAAACCTCCTCCACCACAGGAAGTCCTGCAGGGTTCTGTTAGACCGTTGGCACCCAATGCTTAGTTCCTTTCCGTGGGCATTAGGGGCCACAAAGGTGCTTTGGTTTAAACAGAGTGCCAAGACACTGTTGCGTCTGACCGACACTCCACAGGAAGGACAGAAATAGAGATGGAGGAAGAGGCGGACTCCGAGCAAAAACTTCATTTCACAGCCGTTTGTAGCTGTGAGCCGTTGGACATCGTTCGTGCATTTGCTGCACTTTGATCGCATGATTACCGAGTTAGAATACAACAGCGATAATCACCTTGCATCTGCTCGCGCCTGCCAGTACCTGTGTGTATAAGGGGCTGCTTTTTGGAGGCCATTTACAAAGGCCTTAGGCAAACAGAAAGAGTCTGTTCAAACACAGGGCGGAAGCTCCACTAATGAGGATGTTTACCAATGCGGGAGAAAAAACGAGAGCAAACAGGGATGTGTACACGTGGCCGTCAACACCTCCCAGCCTGGTCCTGTCACCTCCACCGCTGATGGGGCAGCCAGGGCTTTCATTTATGCCCTCATCACATCGGCAGCAGCCAGACATGCCCCAAGATGACATCTCATCCTGAGCAGGCTGCCCGGGTTTGACATCTCCACTGGCACTAATTCCTGTGGCTCCTATTAGGATGTATTGTGAGCCCATTTTGTGCTATTGTTATACCCCTCTTTTAGTCATATCTGTCACCTCCATTCCTCCCTCCCTCCCTCCCTCCTTTCCTCTCATCGTTTCTCTGTGCCAGGTGCTCTTATAGCCTGCACAGACAGACAGACAGAAACAGAAAAAAAGCGAGAGAGACGGATACGATGGATAGATAAGAGAGAGAGAGAGAGAGAGAGAGAGAGAGAGAGAGAGAGAGAGAGAGAGAGAGAGAGAGAGAGAGAGAGAGAACGAGAGCAGCGGAAATGTCTTAAGAGATAGTGAGGAGTTTTCCTCCTGATAATAAGGATGGCAGCCATTGTTAGTGGTGCAAACAAATGTTGAGCCTGGTTTTTGTGTCATGGTTAAATATACTTATACAAATATAAATATACTCGCTACAAAGGGGAATAAACCGTGACATCAGTGCAGCAAGAAAAAAAAGAAAAAGTCACTTCTCCACCGGCCAATAGATCATAGCAGATTGATCATTTTTGGAATGCGATTTGTTATTTGCTCAGATTTCTTGTTGTTAGAGGATGTGCACACCTAGAGTTCTGTACCTCCCTTGTAGACGCAGATGGCATCAGGTTTGATTGCTTGGTCCAAATCCAAGTTTGATTCCACCTTTTTATCCTCCGCATGTCTCGTCACATTGTATTTTTTGGCTATTGTTTGGTTACACACACACACACACACACACACACACACACAAACACACTACTGTTCAAAAGTTTGGGGTTGGTAATATTATTTAATATTTCTGATAAGTCTCCTTTGCTCAAGTCTGCAAAAATACTTGAAAACAGTAACATTGTGGAATATTATTACATTTTTACAAACATTATAACTTTTTCCTATTTTTATATATTTTAATATGAATCATTAGAATTCATTCGAAATCATTTTAATACGTTGATTTGGTGCTCATGTAACATTTTTTTTATTGTTAACATTTCCTCTTTATATTTTAGTGGTAACAGAGTTGAATTTTTTTGAGGATTATTTAATAAATAGAAAGATCAAAAGTACAGCATTTATTTAAAATAGTAATCTTTTTTATCATGTTATGCTTTACTATCTTTTCTGAATATATGTATTAATTCCGGTCCTTGAATTTGATTGACTGTTTATGGGTTGCAGACATTCTGTCAGTCTCCATTAGTTTGGGGACTTTTTCAGTGACTCTTTCTGCAGGTTACATCTTATTCCAGTAGGTGGCAACAAGTGGGTGTCTCTATGGGTGTGTCATTAAAACTTTTACAACTAATTTTGAGAGAGAGTCATTGAGAGTCACCTGTCTAATAAAGTACATGCAAGAGTCGCTTCTCTGTCAAGTCGAAGTTTGTCACGGACGTGGAGCTCTCGGCATCTCGAAAACGCCACGCTGTTATCCTCGTTTTATTTCTCCTTTTGTCCCAAAGTCTGCTTGCCATGGTCCATAATGTTTGAACGAAACAACAACAGCTTGTGCGTGCCGCTAGAAGTAACGCAGTTGTCCATGTCTGTCGCCATGGTTACTGTGGCAGCACGAGCGGAAACAGGGATAACGCGGGTATTACGTACTTGACAGGCGACAAGTGAAAATGGACGAGCCATTATTTAATAATTGGAATTTCTCTGAAATTAAAAATCTTTCGGAACTTTTGGGATATTGTAAGTACACAACTGCAGGAAATATATCACACTGTGCAAGTGAGTTTTGGAAATTTTATTACACAAATCTTACATATTGTAGCTTCAAGACGTTTTGTTTCATAACTCAAATCAATGGACTTTTACACAGTTAGTGCTCTGTGTTTCATCAGCATATTTTAATTTTAAATGCCTGAGAGAAATCTGCTCACCATGTCTTTCTCTATCCCTGTATACCTGTCAAGTCACGGTTAGTTTTATCTGATGTTTCTGGATTCAAATGCTCTGTGTCTCAGCATGTGCTGGTAATTCACAATAGGCCGCGTTGCACTGCTTTCTCACTCTCTTTTCAATTGTAGTTCTCTTGCCCGTGAAACACAGAATAATGTAATTCAAACAGTTGGGCATAGGGCGGCCCCCTCGCTGGGCCAGCCCGGACCCAAGCAGCGCCTGCAGGATGATCATGCACCGCTGTCAGCCACAATAAAACCACAGCTTTACTTATTGAGTAGGGAACTGCGCGCTGCATGGGGATCTGGAGATCAAGAATCAGAAGAGAAATACACACTCATGTTTCAGCTGAGGTTGGAAATCAAAAGGAATTTTTACGATTCTGGATCCGATTCCTCTTAGCGATTCCGGATTCTTAACAGTTTCATTAATGATTTTTGGAGAAGAAATATTTGGAAATAGGCATGCAATTCTTATTGTATTGATTGCACTCAGCAGTCTGTTGCCAAATATTTCAGACTTCAATGGACCAAAACTTGATTAACTGAAAAGAACCGGCTAAGAGCCGTTCATTCGGGAAACAGACTACACGGTACAAGCTATAGGTAATTCACTAACATGACCATCTCATGAGAGACATCTGTTTGGGAATCAGACTACATCGGTCAAGCTATGCGTTTGATTCACTAAAACAAACTGGCTCATAAGTGACCAGACAGTATGTTTCAGTAGGATTTATTAGGTTCAGTGAACAGTAGTGCAGTAAACACGATCAGTGTTTTAGTTATTTTTGTTATTAACTGTGGACTGTCTGTTAAACTCTGTTCCCAGCTATAATTTTAGCACACATTTTCTTGCTCACATTCCAACACACGCAGAGGGTTTCAAACAGGAGTGCATGGGTGGATGCTGCTGGGGGTCTTGTGATTAAACCCAAAAACACCAACAGAGACACACTCACACCTACGTACACGTAAATGCAAACACACATTCACACGTTCACAAACACCTTCTTGTTTACGCAGGGGGCCAATAGCTCACGCAGCTTCGCCAACAGCCTGAAGATGGAGAGAAATCGATGGTATCATTCGATTGCATCAGCAATGTTTTGTCGCATTCATGACCTACGGCTTTGAATTCTCCTGGAAGTTTCTTTCGAAAGGGGCTGTCCCTCATTTTGTCTGTACACTGTTCATTTACACCGCCCGCTCTGGGGGAAAGAACCTAATTATTTCCTTATAAACAGGAGGGGGATGAACTCTGTCATTTCCTTGTGCCAAATGCAGATAAGTATTTATGTTTGAGTGTAGGATTTCAGCTCTCCAAATGCGTGAAAGACGCTTTAGTTAGTCTGCAGCGAGTCTGGCTGGAGAAGGAAACGCAGTTGTGCGTAGGAGTGATGAGACAGTGGAAGCCCTGGCACAGAGACCCTGTCTTATACGCTCTTCTTCCTTTATTTCCCTATTTCCTCCTTCCCTTCCTCTGTGAGTGGGCTCACAGGGAGCCGGGCTCAATGTTATGGATTTGAGCTGTCTTCTTTGTGCCTGCCCCCTCTTTCTCTCTATCTTTCAACGGGTTTCTCTCTCTGGGCTGGACGGTGTCCCGAAGGAATTTGGCTACACAGATGTGGGGTGTCTGTTAAAGAGGAGGGTTGCGCTCGTTTCAAACCCCCCTGCGAAAACACATCATTTCCCCTATACATGGCAATTAGACACGTTACAGACCTTCTATCAGACACTGAATGTGTGACATTATGTTGTGTGCTTTAGATTTGTTGCCACATTGTCTTTTGCCAGAATTAGGGCTGGAACTAATGATTAATTTGCTAACTGATAATCCAATGATTACCCAGTAATTTTATTTAACTATATACACATGCATAAAATATCTAGGTTTTATGTGTATATTTTATTTTCAATATTTTATATCTTACTGTTGGCATATTTAAAAAGTTTGGGGTCAGTAAGATTTACTTTTTTTTCTTCTTCTTTTTTTTTTTTACTTATAATCAGGATGCATTAGGTTGATCAAAAGTGACCGTTTACATTGTTACAAAAAAAAATCTATTTCAGATGAATGCTCTTTTTTAATTATCATAGTTAATACAGTGAAAATACAGTTTAGAGGTCATTCCACAAAAATATTAGACTGCAAAATGCTGCAGTTGACCAACCAGAGTCAAATATTCCAAAGTCGAGTTTTTCCAATCTTTAGTCTAGGTGTTGGCATCTATTGTCCATGTTTTTTTGCATTTTCCCTTTTGCAGTGGAGCAATGGAGAATGTGACTTTGAATTTAGCATGTTTATAATCATTTCACCCCTATGTCTGTTCCTAATGTTCTGCTTTCTTTTTCTTTCAGGATGCCTTTGTGGAGATGTACGGTCAGCAGAGAGACTCTATGTTCCATCCATTGTCGTACCTAACGAAAGTGCTTGGATTGGCGGCGCTGGGCTTGGCAGGAGTGACCATCGCCTTTTTCGCTCAGAAGTGACAGCCCTGCAGGTCTCTCAGCCAATCCATCTCACTTTCTCTGCCTGTCTCTCCTCTTCAGCTTATCAAAGCATCTCTCAGCGCCACACTGCCCCGCTAAGCCCGGCACCAGTGCCCTTCAAAGGCCGCCACTGATCCGATGCCCCTCCAGCCACGGGAGCTACGGCGCTCACGCTCTTTCACCCTCTCTGGAGTGAAGAAAACACAAAGAAAAAGAATACAGAATGAGGACTCGCAGGAACGCTCCCACACTTTAACCATGATGCTCGTCACTGCCATGTACAGTTGCGCTCACACAGAGATTGACACACAAAACACGTGCACACACAAACACATGCTCACATACTTCATATGGACGTTTTATCTTTAAAGTTTGTTTCTTATGTATGAAACGAGTACAAAGAGATTTTTAAACTTAAGATTGTGCTTTTTTGACATTTTGATATCAGGTTTTTTGGCATTTTGTAGCATGAATCAAAAAAAAGAGAGAGGAAAATAAGAAAGTGTGCCGGCGTGAATGTAAATAACTTCTCCACTTTTTGCATGTGTGGAAAAAGAGGATCTTTAAGCTACTTTATTGCATGATGGCATTTTGAACTCGGCCACCCACCTCTACTTTGTTGATTCGGGGTGTTTTGTATGTTTTTGTTTATTTCTGTCTCTCACTCCATTGGATGGACCTCTTGAGATCTCCCGTCAAACCAACAGATGTTGAGTATTCCTCATTAAAAAGTTCCTCTTTGGTTTGCTCCGTGTCTTACTGTTTGGTGAGCACAAAGAACATGCCAACAACCAAACCGAAGCGGATATCATGATGTGATCTCACCCAGCATGGGTCGCGGAGTTGTCTGACCCAAATCGCCCCTTCTTGAATGTAAAGACTGGAAGTTTTACTTCTTTTGGGTTTCCCTTTTATTTTTTTGTTTTGGTTTGATTGGTGCAAAATGCGTTAAAAGAGCAATTCTGATGGTAAATTCCATTTTCGAGGGTATTGTGTATGTGTTAAGTCTGTGTACATGTAGTGTAAGTGTGTGTGTACATCTGTAAATAGATTGCGTTGAGAGAGCTGGACTTGGCTGTGTTCTGGTGGAGAACGCGGGCGACCCGCCAGTTGTGTCCAGCCAAGCCAGGTGTGTATGTGCGTCTGCAGATGAAACGGACAGGTGGCAGCTGGGAACAGAAGTTCATTCAGGCTGGCATGATAGGCATGCAGGCCAGCGGGGCTTTGAAAAGACTCTGAACACAACGGACTATGTAATTCATGGCCCAGGTGTATCACTTTCCCCTCCTCGTCGCCCCTCCAATGTTATCTTTCTTGCATGGTAGATTTCAGGCACCTTGTGAGCTGTAGATTTTCGGATGCCCCAACAACCAAAGAAATCCGATCCGTCTTCTGTAACTTCCGCCCCAGAGAGAATCTCATCCAGTGATATACCACAAGTGCCCAGTGTGTTCCACTGGGAGGGTTGATTTCTCATTCACAGGAAGAGACTGCGACACCAGCTTTTCCTAATGTCTTTTCCCCCTCAGATGTCCATTACAGTCACTGGTGTAGATTTAGCGCTCTCTGTCTCTGTGTCAGGGAGAGAATTATTTACATATAAAGCACAAGGTTGAGCAAAAATACAGGATGGGCATCCTTTCAATTCATAAGTTTTTAATTTTAATTGAGTTAGCCATGCCCCACAGAATTCGAATTTTACTTAGAATAACAGGAAGATGAATTTACTAAATTGCAATTCAAAGATATTCAGCAAATAATCGCATTACTTTCAAACAATGCTGTCAAGCCAACATTCAAAGTTCTTAGTTAATGATTAAACTTAAGAATTTTTATTTAAAATTCATTTAATTCTTACCTTATTTCATTAAAATTCAGAAATTAAATTTAAAAGCTTTCTCAATTCAATTCCAAATGGAGCACAACTCTGATACTGTGTCTACAGACTTCATTCAGAGTGAACAGTTAATGTGGCGTGAACGAAAAAGAGGCTGTGAAGGATGAATAGTATATAGTATATCTAAGTTAAGATTTCTGGAGTTTTTTTTTTTTGTTGACTGGAATTTTTCAGAAAGACATTTCAGTATTTTGTTGGCTAAACAGCCATTAGTATGCAAGAGTATAACATAAACAAACTGTACTTCTTTCCCTCACAGTCTCATTTTCATTCTAGTCAATTCTCTAACTAAGGATCCATGTCAGGATCGACTTTATCTAGTCTATCAACACAGCTCTCTCGAGTGTGTAATGGTACAGATTAAACATTCGCTATCTAATAGTGTATATTGATGCACCCTTTATCGGGTGGTGCAGGACTGTATCAGAATATGTTAAAGCGAGTTTTTAGGACTCACACTGTAAGATCATTTTACTTTAGCTGCTAAAGATCTAGCAATGTAAGACAACAGGGTGTGGAGTTGAGCTTCTCCCTGTTGCTGCACCATATGAAGCTGCTCGTGGATGAACCAGCGTATAACTGCCACCGCTGGAGCGGAACTAGTCCATCCACTCCTCAAGTCTCACTTACCCTCTGGTTAGGAGAAGCTGAGAAGTCTATTACAATCAGACTCTAGATGCACCTATTCGAGTCTAAGAAGAGGCCTTGAGTGTTTGATTAAATAGCATCAATTTCTATTCACAAGCGATTTTCAAATGCAGTTTGTGTCAAATTCCTCTGCACCTTTTATAAAGCAATGCCTCAAGAGTAATCAAGCAGTGATTGCCAGGGAAATTTGTTTGGAAATTTGACTTTGACAAAAAAGAGACTAAGATGAAAAGAAAGGTGAAGGATGCAGGAAATGCGCAGTCTAGTTGGTAAAGGTGTGTAGGTAAATGTATAAATCATAAGGTTCTTATGTAGCATGTGTGTATACATCAAAATCATTTGCATTGTTAGGGGCCATACACACAGAATGCATTTTTTGCCTTTAAAAACGTCAGATGCAGGGCAATGGAATGGGAAAAAAAACACAAGCTCTAAAATTTTACCTTGAGTGCTGTTTTTATAACACCATATCATGTGTGAGACACTGCAAAAGGCGTTAAACGCAACGATCTAGTGCATGATGGAAAAGCAGCGCAGTGGAATGCAAAAGCGTGTTTTATGTGAACGGCCCCTAAAACTGTGTCCTAACCATGATGAAGCAAAATCCCACTCCATATAGCTGCATATTAAAGCTGAAGTGTGTAATTTCTGCGTCACTAGACTGAATTTGACTGTTTTTAAACAGGTTTCCCAAACACTCCGCCTGGAAACAAAATCGACAGCCCCGCCCCAAAACGAACCCCATTGACTGAACCAGTGTTGCTGTTGTCGGGCAGGTTGGGATGTTCAAACAAACAGATCAATATTTTGAAAACACCTCAGAGCTGCAGTGTTTCAATTTTTAGGGCACTCAACATATAAGCGTCGTACTAACAAGTTTTAACATAAAAATGGCATTTCAGGTTTAAACGTGAAATATGTTCTGATTGGCTGTTATCATGTCTCATAACACAAAATGTTCCCTTTCTCTGTTAAGAGACAAATAAAATGATGCTCGGAGACTACATTTGGTTAGGACACAGTGTGAGAGTGGGCATGGAAAGAAGGTGTAACTTGGTTCATCTCCAGGGTGAATATTATATTTTATTTAAAATATTCTGTATCTCTTTTTTTTAATGTAAATTATCTTTTACACCTTTACAGAAAAAAAAAATCAGAATTCTGAATGTAAAAATAGGATCAGCTCTGATCAGCTAAAGCACTCGCTTTCAAAGTTGTGTGGCTTATACTTCTGCAAAAAAAAAAAACTCCATCTGTCAGTTCATTCCTCATTCTTTCATACATTCTTTCATTCTCGTCATACAGACGGAAAGAGGATGGGCTTTTGTTTTAGCTCACGTCCTGTCTGATAAATATGGAAGTGAGATTTAAACTGCAGCGAAAGGGTTTTTCCCTCCTTCCATCTGGATGGTGCGGTTCCGGTGATCTGTTAAGAGTAAAATTTCAATTACAGTCTCCATGGTTGCACTGGTTTGGCGTTTATAATAACTATGTTATTTACATTTTGCATGAGTGCATTCTTTCATCTCCAGCTATACAGCTTCATTTTACTCGAGTTTCGGTGCGATTTTCACATTGTGTTCAATATAAATGACTCGGTTTGTGTGTCTATTCTGAAATAAACCCCCACGCCCCATCAGATCAAATGGAAAAGATTATAAAAATGTTCTTTTTTTTTCCTTCGGCAGCTACTATAATGCATTCATTTTACAATACCACTTTCCTTTGAGGAAAAAAGAAATTGATTTTCTACTCTGACTTCTTTGCTTTCTTTCTTTTTTAATGACTTTGCTGCCATACCTTCCCTCATATATCACATATCCATTAAAATGTAGCAAAATATCTGGAGGATTTTAATATAGAGACAGGAGTTTATATTTGATTTCCATATTCTCATTTTTCCACCATTATCCTGTTTGTCTTCTTGTCTTGTATGCCCTCAGCATGTAGCATTCAAAAGCAATTGTTCATGTTTTTTTTCTTTTTCTTTTTTGTTTGTTTAATTTATCCTCTTAGCACTTGTGAGTTTTAAATATGTCAATATCATTTTGTGTACGTATCCATGTCATAAGCTAACAGTTATGTGTCCTAATTAAATAAACCTTGCCTTATCATCTGAGAAGAGCTGTCACGGTTTGCATCACTGAGTCAGAAACTCCAATATGCCGCTTTGGATTCTGTCATGTTTTGCTGTTTTCTAAATTGAAGGCAGCTAGGGAATCGTTTTAACAGGCCAGCTGTATATCAGGAGTGTTTAAAGCAAGAACAGGAGAAGGTTGGCAACGGTGTCTCACGGGAGATGAGGATTTAACCAATCAAAATGGGCCATGTGTACATCCTTCTGTTTAACCTGGGGGTCTTTCTTGAGACATTGTAGTCTTACATATGCTCAGAATAAAGGAATACGCATGTTTACCGCTTACAGCAGTCATTTGCAAATTGCACCATCTCTCACAAAAACATACCATGATGGTATCGGGTGGACACAAATGGAATTTGGAGAATTGTTTACATTTTCTGCACTGATTTTGGGGGGAAAAAATATGTTATACATACACTACCGTTCAAAAGTTTGGGGTCGGTACGATTTTAAATACTTTAAAAAGAATTCTCTTCTGCTAACCATGGCTGCGCTTATTTTATTAAAAATACAACAAAAATCAGTTATAGTATTAAATATTATTCCAGTGTAAATCAGCTGTTTTCTGTGTTAATATATAGTAAAGTGTAATTTATTCCTGTGCTCAAAGCTGAAATTTCAGCATCACCAGTGTCTTCAGTGTCAAATGATCCTTCACAAACCAGTATAATATGAGGATTTGATGCTCAAGAAACATTTATTATTATTATCAATGTTGAAACAGTTGTTGGTCTGTCAGTTGTACAGTTTTTTGTTTTGTTTTTAGGATTCTTTGATGAATAGGAAGTTCAAAAGAACAGCATTTGTTTGAAATAGAATCTTTTGTAACATTATAAATGTCTTTACTGTCCTTGATAAATAAAAGTATTGATTTCTTTCCTCCAAAAAATAAAAATAAAATTCTCACTGACCCCAAACTTTTGAACGGTAGTGTATATTGTGCATTTTTACATGGTACAATATGTTAAACAGTGCTCATAGTCTTTTTGATAGGTGAAACGCACAATCATGTAACAAGTTAAAAAAAAGAAAAAAAAGAAAGAAACTGTAAGTCTTTTAAGTCACTTTTGTAAGTCATGCCATGTAGTACGTAAATAAACTCGCATGTCAATTCAATCGATGACCACCTTGAGTAAAAACTCGAATTTTGCGATTATTCGCCATCTTCATTTCAATGGGTTGCATGGCAAAAATAAACATACAAATTGACCGGTGTAGTCTGATGACTCTTATGAATTTGTTGGATTGATAACAGTGCAGCACGATTCACAAACAAATGAAGCAAATCAAGCACAACGAAACCAGTGTAGACAGATTCATGAACAAATAACTCTTATGAGCCAGTTCTTTTAGTAAATCAAAAACATACACGTTGTGTCCTAAATGACGCACTATACACTATCCCCTTGTACAGTATATGCACTATGTACTCAACCGTGTAGTGTATGAAATGTATTTTGTCATTCAACATCGGAGTCTGATTGTTCCGGATAATTGTATTTGCAAGCAACAGGCAATTCAAGTAGCCTATAATTCCTTCCACTTGAATGGGGAGAAAGACTAAGATTTTCAAAACTGTTTGTCAAAATGTTGTTTCAGTAACATTTCAAATCACAAATAACCTTTGAGAACAATGCTATAAAACATTTTTCCTCTTTAGCTCAAATCATACTAAAATTTTGTTTAGACTGAATGCACATCCAGATTCTAGAAACTATCAAAAAGGTGATTGACTCTTTTAACTGAAAGGCAGACATATTTTAGTGCTAAAGGCCATATTTTAGTGGTAAGTGGCTTGATTGCATGTATCGTTGCAAAATGTAAACTGCATTAGCTCTAATCGGCATGGAGACATTAAGATATTATAAAC